GTTTTTTCCTTCACAGATGCTGCCAGACCTGCTGGGCTTTACCAGCACTGAAGCTTTTGACTTCTGCTTTCCAAAGAACAAGCACCTCAGCACCAGGTTTATGTCATTCCTCTTCAAGAGAGGAACAAGACACAAAAATTCTCTCTTAAAGGCACATATTGTCACAAGTTGGATTCAACTATCAGCTCTTAGAGAAACCATGATGGCTAACTAAAATGAGTCCCACCAAACAACAAATACTCTTAAATGAACCAATCCATGATTGGACAATAGGACAATACAAAATAGGATTTCAGATTTAAAACTACAAGGTAAGATAGTGTTAAACAACGAGAAAATGCTGGAAATACTCAACATGAGGCAACATTTGGGGAGAAAAACAGTCAATGTTTCAAGTCAACAATCCTATTATGAGGTTTAACATTATTGTAGGAATGAAGAAAAATGAATTTAATTAGGAGATGCAGAACAACGAAAACAGAAACAGGACTCTGGGACATCAAAAACATGCCTGTACAATTTTCTCAATCTACCAACTCTAAGGAATATTCAGACACTATTTCCAACAAAGATTTTTCTTAACATTTTTACACAACCTCCTGAGAATAACAGAATTTTAGGGGTCTCAGAAAAAAGAACACCAAAACCAAAGAAAGAAGTTGAATTTATAAGATATCCCCACTCGCTGTGCTGTGGCTTCAGATGCCTCCAATGGCTATCAAGACTGTTGTTTCACATCAGTGTTGATGACAAAGTTCACATCAGTGATATTCTACCACCAATATGCAGTGAGCCGTTCCAACAAAAAAGATGCATACTTGAGGCCTTGCATCTCATCAAAGACAAATGACACCCATGTTCCTGCCCTCAGGAATCATATGTCAAGGTCCAGTTCATGGCCTTGTACTTGAGAAATAGAATAGAATAGAATATCCTTTGTTATCACATGTACTCAAGTACAGAAGTACAGCGATAAGTTTACAATGTTGCCTCTCGTGGCACCATTTGAGATACACACTAAACGAGGCACAAATCTTAGATACAAAAAGAGGAGTAAAAAGAAAAAAAGAAAATATTTAATCCCGCCTTGATAAATGCAACTGAAGATATTTCAAGGTCAGATGTCTTCGGTAGTTTGGTAAAACCAGTACTGGAGTCACCATCAAAATTTGTGAACATAAAACCTGCAACTGTCACCATTCAGCTACTGGACAACTGTTAGAGACAATTCCAAAACAGTTTTGCCATGAAATCCAGTTGAAGCACAAACAAGCAATGTAGCCCAAAGGAATCTCTTGATCCAAAGCTCCATGTCACAATACCTGTCCAGAACATATCATGGCATCTCTAAAATGAGGCGCCTTCCAGGGAACAGACACAAATTGTTTCAATAGTGTTTCCAGCCATACCTGTCACAAATTTCTGGACATCAATCTCTCCTTCCAATTTGATTCGCTGCAGCTCATCCTCTAAAATAAGCTCATCTGATTGATCTGTATATTTTGTACGTGCTGGGTGAGGCAATAGGTTGTGCTAAAAGAAAAAAGACAAGACTTATGACATTAGCAAAAACAATTATGGGTCATCAGTACACTGAGTATTCATGTCAGAAGAAGTGACAACAAGTGGGTGCAGTCATTCAATTCAGCTTGAATCAGTTTCAATTCAAAAAATATGAAACAATTTAAAGCAATTCCCAATGTCAGAAAACACAAGAGCGGAGTCACCACTGACCATTTGAATACAAGGATAATAGTCCAAATTAGAAATGTAACCCTCCATTTTCTCTTCAGGGAACTGAATACAGATGAACCAAGTCACTTACTCCAAAGAGCCTTTGACTGCAATTTGAGTCTCACTATATTTTTAAAAATTCAGCTCAAAGAAGAAACAAAGAAAAACCTGATTCAAATTAGGAAATCAAATCTACACTTGGACAGACAAAAAGGTTTGAAGGTGACAAGTGCTGGTCCAAGAACAACGGCATGAAGGTAGCTCAGACAGATCATGTTTTAACAAACAGCAAAGAGCAACTATAAACGGGGACGATTTAGAATATGAGAGAAAGCTATCCAGTAATATAAATACAGATCAAGTTTCTACAAGTACAAACGTGAAAGAATGTCTGATCTCTCAAGAGTGTGCCTGGAAATTAAATGGATAGTTAGGAAATGACAAAGGGGTTGAACATCTATTTTCTATCTGTCTTCAGGAAACTTCCAGCAGATCTTGAAAATTAATTGGCAAGGAAGAAGCTAAAACAAACTGAATCACTTGGAAATAGGCAAAAACAATGAGATCTACTTTGACAAGTCCTCAGACCAGATTGTAAAATCCTACGATACAGAAAAGAAGTGGCTGCAGAGCTGAAGCATGGCTTATAATTTTCCTTCTATTCCACAGATTTGGGAAGGGTCCAAGTGGATTGGAAATTAGCTAATTCTCCTTTCTTGAACAAAGGTGTTCCTTTCTTGAACAAAGACAGAGAGAAGGAAACAATAGGCAAGGTGGCTTAACATTCAGTTCTAGATTGATTTATGTTAAAACATGATGTAATGAGGTAACAAGGCGCAGAGCTGGATGAACACAGCAGGCCAAGCAGCATCATAGGAGCAGGAAGGCTGACGTTTCGGGCCTAGACCCTTCATCAGAAATCAACGTTACCGTGGGATTTTTCTATTTATTCAACATATCCATTAAGGTGGTTCAAGGGAAACTTGTAGCCATGGTGTAACTGGATTTCTATAAGGCATTTGAGAAGGTACCAAGTCAATGCTTCACAAGCTAAGATCACAGAGAGATTGGGGAGCATTTGAATAAATCAATCCTCTATCAAGGCAAACAGAAATCGGCGTAACACCAAACAGGTGGTTTTATTCTTTTAGCAGGCTACTATTGATGGCATGCCACAGACATGAACACTGCAAATTTCAGTTTGTAATCTACATGAATGACATAGATGCAGGGACCAAATTTGTCTAGATTTGTCAATGATGCCAAGATAGCTACAAAATTATTAGTGAAGCTCAGGTGCAAAGCCCCAAAAAGGATACAGATGTGTGAAGCAAGCAGGCAAACTCTGGATGATGGACCATAAGTGAGAACATGCAAACTTGTCCATTTGTGGGTGGTGATGGGGGAAGAGAGAGAGAGAGAAGCAATATATGAATTCAATGGAAAGTACACACAGAACTTAGTAGGACAGAAAGATGTGAGTGACCAGGTATACTATTCACAAAACACTTGTAAGCAGATACAGCCAGTAATCAGGAAAGCAACAGGAAATAAACTGTAAATGTTGGCAAGTTATGCTGCAGATGTCAACAAGATTATGTGCAGCCTTGGTCTCATCTGAAAAATAGAAGTGTTGGAAGCAGTTTAGAAAACGTTCACTTGATATATCCCTGGGACAAAGGCCTTAACAATGTGAAAAAGTAAATAAGTTGAGCCGATACACATTAGTGTTTGCAATAATAAGTGGCGACGTACAGAAACATAAAAAGATCCTTAAGATCTCTACTGTATGGATGCTGACAGGATGCTGCCTCAGAGGAAAAAAAAACAAGGGACATATTTTAACAATACGGGGTCTCCCTTTAAAGATAGAGATGACTCATATAGAAGACCAATAGTGTCAGACATGAAGACATAGAAAAAACACATTCAACTGAAACAAAGTTCAGCAGGTAGGGCACCAGTGAGGATGAAAAGGGAGGACACAGTGAAGGAGCAAGATCCAAGGGACAGGGAGCAATAATGGGGATTATGGCGGTGATGGGGTTCAAGGGGAGAGAAGGAGTAGCGATCCACCGCTGTCATTCTTATGGCCCTTGCAGCTCACCCATCTCCTCCCCATCCTTCACAGCCCACCAATTTCAAAGTTGAACTTGATCAAATGTGTACGCGGCAGTCCCAGTAAACACACGGGTACACGTTCAACCTGTTCATCTCACGCGTGGCATCAACTGACATGGCCAATTTACCCCCGCTCTATAGATCCTTCTCCTATGTCGAATTCTCTTCCCCAGAAAGGAGTGGAGCTGGGTCTGCAACATGAGTAACTGGAGTTCAGTGAGACGATACTATGGCTGTAAGAGGTGTACTTTGTCTTTTTTTTGACCGTTGAGATAAGGGGAAAAACAGTCTGTTCCAAGCCAATAAAGTGAACATGTGAGGCCTTGGTTTCTTTTCCCCCAAGGTGGAAGAATAGAAGCACGAATGGGTAGAGTCAGGCTCCCACAGAACCAGGGTTTCAATTTAGCTTTCAGTAGTTGTTCGGGTTTTGACGCTGCCATACATCACTCCCTGCTGCAGCAAAACACTTCAGTTTTCTCTCTCTCTGGCAGAATTTTCTTCAGATGTTCTTTCCTCCTGGACTGGAGAAACACGGACTGTGAGAAAATCTATTTTACTGAACTTGCCTTGCCAAGGAGGCATTTATGGGATGTTATTATACTCAAAAGAATTGCTGCTTCATAGTTAAATAATCTTTTATTTTGTTAGTTTTTCTAACAGAGTTACTTGTATCAATTCTTCTTCCTTTTGTTTGTATTTTAACTGAGTATAAGAAAAAGTGTATTTTGCTTAAAGCCAAGTAGTGCAACCATCCAGAGTCACAGTTATACAGCACAGAAACAAACCCTTCAGTTCAACTCGTCCATGCGAACAAGATATCCTAAACTGATCCAGTCTCATTTGCCCCATATCCCTCGAAACCTTTGCTATTCATGTACTCATCCAGATGACTTTTAAATGTTGCAGTTGTACCTGCCTCCACCGATCCCTCTGGCAGCTCATTCCAGACACGCGCCACCCTCTGCATGAAAAAGTTAACCTTAAAAGGTCCTTTTAAAATCTTTTGCCTCTCACCTTAAACCTGCGCCCATTAGTTTTGGATTCTCCTACCCTGGGAAAAAGACTTGTCTATTTACCTTATCCAAGGCCCTCATGATTTTACAAACCTTTGTCAGGTCACCGTGCAGCCTCCGACACTCCTGGGAAAATAGCCCCTACTTATTCAATCTCTCCCTATAGATCAAACCCTTCAATCCTGTCAACATCCTTGTAAAACTTTTCTAAAACCTTTCAAGTTTCACAACATGTTTCCTATAGCAGGGAGACCAGAATGGAATGCAGTATTCCAAAGGTGACCTAACCAATGTCCTGTACAGCTGTAACATGACTTCCCAACTCCTGTACTCAATGCACTGCCCAATGAAGGCAAGTGTGCCAAATGCGTTCTTCACCACCCTGTCTACCTGCAACTCCACTTTCAAGGAACTATGCACCTGCACTCCAAGGTATTTTTGTTTGACAATATTCCCCAGGGACCCACCATTAACTGTCGAAGTCCTGTTCGGTTTGCCTTACCAAAACGCAACATCTCATATTTATCTCAATTAAACTGCATCTGCCACTCCTCAGCTCATTGGCCCATCTGACCAAAGTCCCGTTGTAATGTGAGATCATCTTCTGCACTGTCTACCACACCACCAACTTTTTTGTAATCTGCAAAATTAATCACCATTCGTCTAATATTCACATCCAAATCATTTTTATAAATGATGAAAAGCAGTGGACCCAGCACCACTTCTTGCAGCACACCACTTGTCACAGGCCTCCAGTCCGAAAAACAACCCTCCGCCACCACCCTGTCTTGTATCTTCAAGCCAATTTTGTATCCTATTGGCTAACTCCCCTTGGATTCCATGTCATATAACCTTACTAACTACCTCACGGAACCTTGTTGAACGCCTTGCTGCCATTCAAATAGACAATGTCTACTGCTCCACCTTCAATCTTCTTTGTCACTTCTTCAAATAAAAAAAACTCGAGAAAGCCATGTTGACTCTCTCTTATCAGTCCTTGCCTTGCCAAACGCATGTAAATCCCAACCCTCACAAGCCCCTCCAACAACTTACTCACCACTCACATCAGATTCACCAGTCTATAGTTCCCTCGCTTTTCCTTACCACTTCTCTGAAATAATGGTACCACATGAGCCAACCTCCAGTCTTTGGCACCTCACCTGTGGCTATTGATAATACAAATATCTCAGCAGGGGGGCCAGCAATCATTTCCGAATTTTCCACAAAGCTCTGGGATACACCTAATCAGCCCCTGGGGTTTCTCCACTTTTGTTCATTTTAAGATGTCCGGCACCCCCTCTTCTGTTATACGGACACTTTTCAAAATATCGCTATTCCAAGTTCTCAAGCTTCCATACCCTTCTCTACAGTAATCAATGACATGAAATACTTGTTTAGTTTCTCGTCCATCTCCTGTGGCTCCACACATAGATGGCCATCAAATTACATCTGAAATATAACACCTTACAATCACCTTTAAAAAAGAAAAAGTCAGAGTCTCGGCTATCTCTGATATATTTGAATGGAGTTTGTTCTGGTCCATTATATTGGTAAAACACAGAGCAGCTTATTTGTCCCTCCTTTTCTCTCATTGGTGAGTACTCTTGCTCTTGAATATAAAACTGAAGTCCGAGGAAATTTGGGGCATGAGGGAAACAGTAATGGGGAAGTTGAAAAGTCTCAAGGTCAATAAATCACCTGGAGCAGACAGTGCGCTCCAGAGTTCTGAAGGAAATAGCTGAGGAGATTATAGAGGCATTGACGGAAGGCATTGACGGTAATCTTTCAGGGATCACCAGAGTCCGGGAAGGTCCTGGAGGACTGAGAAATGACTAATGTAATTATGTTGAAGAAGGGAGGGATGCAGAAGACAGGAAATTATAGGCCTGACCTTGGTCGATGTGAAGATTTTAAGAGTCCGTTATTAAGCATAAGATTGTTGAGTACTTGGAAGTGCATGGGAAAACAGAGCTGAATCGACACATCTTTGTCAAGGGATGGCAAGCCTGATAATCTGTTAGAATTCTTGAAGGAGGTAAAAAGCAAGTTTGACAAAGGAGAGCCAGTGGGTGTGATCGATTTGGATTTCAAACAGGCCTTGGACAAGATGCTGTACAGCCAGCTGCTAGATAAGGTAAGAGCCAATGGTGTTAGGGGCAAGATACCGGCAGACACAGAAGATTAGCTGACTGGCAGGAGGCAGAGTGGGGATAAGGGCATCTCTTTCAGCGTGGCAGCGAGTGATCAATGGAGTTCTGCAGGGATCTGTGTTGAGACACAATTATTCACATTATACATTAACGATCAGGACCAAGGAACTGAGGGCACTGTCACTAAGTTTGCAGATGACTCAAAGGTAAGTGGAGAGACAGGTCATGTTGAAGTGGGAGGCTACAGAAAGACATGGACAGGCTAGGAGAGTGGGCAAAGGGTTGTGCAATTCTCAATTACCATTTCAAATTCCTGCTTTACAAAAGGACAGAATCAGCCATGGATATCTTCCATCTGTGTGTGTTATATCAATTCCTGTCATTTTAGTGCCATTCTGTCTTGTCCAGTGGGGGCCTTCCCAATAGTGCCACATCAGGCGCCTGTTCTTAAAGGTAATTTTCCCCAGCTGGAGAAGGTGGTGTACTTTTTTTTTGTACTTCCCTGTGTTACCCTGTCAGGATATTCCCACTGACGGAGTCCAGAGTCCAGATTACAGCATAAGAATATGAAGTAAACCATTTGGGACTGACAGGAGGAGAAACCGCTTCACCCAGACAGGGGTGAGCCTGTAGAATTTGCTACCGCAGAAAGCGGTCAAGGCCAAAACATTGTATGACTTCAAGGAGGTGGATATACCATTGGGGCAAAAGCAACTGAAGGATATAGGGGAAAAGCACAAAAAGGCTATTGAGTCGGATGATTAGCCATGATGACAACGAATGGCAGAGCAGGCTCAAAGGGCCAAATGGCTTACGCCTCTTCCTATTTTCTAACCCAAAGGACTAAGTCATGACAGGAGAGCTCCAAGCGCTAATTTGCTCCTACTGCTCCACCAGGAGGTCGGGCATGTTTCGAGTGCCCAGGGCCAGCATGGGTGCAGAAAGTGTTTCGATCAGTTGCTCCAGGAGGCCTCAGTTTCAGAACTGGAGCGGCAAGTGGGGACACTGGAGCAACAGTGAAGTTCAGACTATTGTGGACACCATGTACAAAGAGGTGGGCACACCGCAGGCTGAGATACCACAGGCAGAAAGGAAACGGGTGACCACCAGACCAATTAAAAGGACTAGGCAGAGTGCAAGAACCCCCTGTGGCTCTTCCCCTGCAAAACATACATACTGTGAAAAGTGGACATGAGAAAGGTCAGATCAGCCAAGGTGCCACTGAGTGGCCGACACACTCAAGGGGCTGAGCAACGTTACCCACAACTTGGTCAGGTTCTTATTTCTTGCAGGTCATTGGTTATTAGACAATAAAGTAAACGAGTGCAGACCAGAAAGTTTAGTCGAGACCACAACTAGATCAGCCATCATCTGAATGAATGGCACACCACTCCAAACGAGTGTAGTGTAATAACGATGCATCAGATTCCTGTATACTCTTAAAGGACCAATAGGGCGACACTTGGCCAGAGTCCATATCCCTGACAATCACCCCAGTGGGAGTTAGAGGTACACAAATTCTATTTTGCTAAGTTCTAATCTAGGATCCTTCGCCATGCAAAGAAATAAAGACATGGTTTGATGCTGATTAAAATTTTGAAGACATCAGTTTCTCTGGTCTTATCCTGACAGCTAAATAAAAGAGGTTAAGGCCGACGGTGCGTCCTCAAGAGGCTCAAAATGAGACGGGTCCCAGGGTCGGCCTCCTACCTCCTCACTGATTTCCCGCAGGATAGATGGTTTCAACTCCATGTGCTTGAAGAGGGTGCCAACCGCGCAACACTTCTCGCCCATCTGCAGCTCACACAGCTTCTTCACCGGCACATCGGCTCCTGCGAAATACAACAGGAGAATCAGTAACAAAAACAGAAGTTGTTGGAAAAGCTGAGCAGATCTGGCAGCATGTGTGAACAGAAAATCAAGAGTTAACGGTGACCGTGGAGCCGCTTTGGAAAGCAGCAGATTCAACCCTGAAATAAAATCAGGGCACGACACAGACTGAATATTTCACTGCGGTTCAGGACAACACTGTTCCTTGTTTACAACCCACCCGGGGAAGTGCCCGACTCCTCCCCATCTCTCGTGGCTGTGCGTGTGTGGAGCACTCACCCCATTTCTTTCTGGCTCTCTCCTCCACCATCGGACGCATCTGCACCAACCGGACGGCGTAGATGTGCGCGTACTGCCGCTGGAAAGAGCGTTCTCCCAGCCTGAAGCTGCCGGAACGGTTCTCGTATGAGCCGGCCGTTACCCGGGGGAAAGTTGGGCCCGGCTGGGCCGGGAGCGGGGCCGACAACAGAGTCGGCTCCTTCAGGGCCGCCCGCTCAGAAAACATAGCGTGGGTGGGTGGCGAGCAGGGAAGAAGAAATACCCCACCCACTCTCCCTTTCTGAGCCTTGGCAGACCCACCGGCGCCGTGAATTTTGTCGGTCTTCTGTTCTTTCCCTGCCGTTGTTTTCCAGCTCCTCGGGTTTAGCTCGGGGAAGGTTTTCCGTTGGGAGATTCCCGCCAAGCGACGCGCATGCGCGGGACTGCCAGCACGTGACGAGCCGTCACACCTCGCGCGGGGCGACGACAACAACAAGGACGCGGACGCCATCTTATTGCGGGGTAAAACGACGTTTTCAATATTTCAAAACCGCCATCTTACTGAGGGGCGATTTCATGTTCCGAAGGCGGCTGCTCCGCCTCCGTTTTTCACCTGAGGCCTGAAGATCGCTCTCCGTGTGCCCTCTCCGACCGATTCTACTCACACGGCTCCATTTTAAATTTTTACGTCCGTTTTTTCGGGTACTCCCCCCCGATTGTGCCATCTTAGACAGATCTCCAGGGTAGGTTTCAGACACGTTCCCAGTGCTCCTCCAGCACTAGCTCCATGTGTGGGGTACGGTCTGCATCTGCCTCATTCTGCCGTTCCCACCCAAACCTTTCCGGCACCATATTCTCTTTTTCTTTGACTGGTATCGGACCAACTTTTCGATCCAACTGTCGCATGTCATATTCAGTGTAACATTTGAGATAACAAGGTGTAGAGCTGGATGAACACAGCAGGCCGAGCAGCATCAGAAGAGCAGGAAGGCTGACGTTTCGGGCCTAGACCCTGTGTTCATCCAGCTCTACACCTTGTTATCTCAGATTCCCCAGCATTGGCAGTTCCAAACAAATGTTACACCGAGATTGTAGGAATACCTGTTTGAGTCTGTTCCGGATCTCACGTAAATGCGGGATTCTGGTCTCGCTGTCTCACTTCTTCCTGACGAAAAAAATTAATGTTTGACTCTGGCAACTTCTGGCAGGATTGAAATTCACCCCTGAATTCCAGTCAGTCTGTTACCGTGGCTTCAGCCTGAGGTTGAAGTTGCACCATGGCTCTAGGCCCGAAACGTCAGCCTTCCTGCTCTTCTGATGCTGCTCGGCCTGCTGTGTTCGTCCAGCTCTACACCTTGTTATCTCATACAACTGTCTTCAGGTTGGCTAAACTTGAAAAGCAACCCTTTGCACTCATCTGGTTTTGAAAAATCTTATAGAAATCCAAAACATTAAAAGTAGTGACATCTGTTCCTCCTTGTTTGGCACAAACGTTGTTAGGTGTTCTGATTATCATGTGTTAGAAATGATATTCATAGAAATTAGCTCTTTGTGTAATTGGAATTTGCCATGCTTCTGGAAAGAGACTTGATTCCACTCGTGCCATGTTAGGCACAGGACTGGACTCTCCAGTGCAGCTGTGACACAGCCACACTGGAACACTTAAATGTACAATTGTTTTTTGACCAATTCATTCCTTGATGGTTGTAAACTAATACTCTCTGGAAGCAGAGATAGTAGGAACTGCAGATGCTGGGGAATCTGAGATAACAAGGTGTAGAGCTGGATGAACACAGCAGGCCA